ATTTATTTAAATTAATGACTAAATTATTATTATCATTGTTAATAATTATTTAAACTTATACTTTATGTAACAATATTCAGAATTATACACAGAACACTTAAAACTAAGAATGAAAAATTTCGCACGCACGGGGGATCGAAACCTAGACCTAGAGGCCACAAGTCGAATACGCATACCGCATAGCCACGCAAGCTTAGAAGTGATTTTACTTCAACTTCCTTTTGAATTGTGGAACCGTTATGTGCAGTGCTAAAATTATAAATTGAAATGTAACATACTTAATAAAAAAATAACTATATATGGGGCACTCCAGGCCAAATCGGAAATTATTTTGCTTTTGCATCTCAAATTTTTTTTAAACATTTTTTTTCTTTTAGTACTCTTTGAAATGAGCTACCTTGAATTTTTTCAAATTTTTTCATAAAGCGGTTCAGGAGATACAGATTTATGAAAAATGACGTTTTTTACGTACATTTTTTTTAAATGCTTATAACTCGGTCAAAAATTGATCAAATTGGACGTTTTTATAATGAAAAGTTTTGTTTTCACACGTAGTTTTTAATAAAATTATTTTTGAGATGCAAAAGCAAAATAATTTCCGATTTGGCCTGGAATGCCCCATATATATATATATATATATATAAATTTTTTTATTACAAATAATAATATATAATTATGCTACAAATAATAAAAAATTTTAATTAATTAGTTAATAATAATAATTTATTATTGTATTTTTATCTATACCTATTAATTAATAATTGATAATAAGACCGATCTTAAATTAAGATTTACTGTGTTAGTTTTGTTGATAGCAAAATTTTCCTTTGTCGCATTTTGTCCTACACTTTAAAATACTTTTATAAAATTTAATAATATCTTTCCGTGTAGTGAAAATGAACACGAGTTTATAGTGAAAGAACAGTTAAATTAAATTTTTGTAACAGTGTTCTAGAACACTGCAGGAACAATGTTACTTCAAAATTCTATAACTAATTTAGAACAAATGTTACATGTCTGTTATAGAACAGATACAGAACAACTGTTCCAGAACAAATTTAGAACAAAGCTCTAGAACTGTTCTATAATAAAATTGTAACACTTATTCTAGAACACTGTTCTTTTTTTGGTCTAGAACAGTTATAGTACGTGCACACTGGGGAGTCTATGTTAAATGACATAGAACGTGGCGCTATCTGCGAGGTTCATTTTTGTTGCAGCTCATAATATGAGTCACTTTTACGACTCATTTTGAGTTTAGTTTTTCTCTGTGTGGTGGTATTTTGTTGCAATGTTTAGAAGAAAAGTCAAAAAAATCTCAAATTGCTTAATTTCCTTGACAGAAATTTTTTTTCATGACATTTACCTGACTTAACTGACCAAAAATTTTGTTTTAATGTGTCATAGAAATTTTATCATTTATCACCTGGAAATCATGGAAAAATCATGAAAATTTATAAGGAGAAATTTGTAGAAACCCGGAAGTTGTAATTTTTCCTAATTTTGCAATTTATTGAGCTGAACAGTATTTTCTCCAAGTTTTGACGTTCAAATGAAGGTCAAATTAAGGTCAAATGAAGGTATTTTATTAAAAAAAATGATTTTTGATATAATTATTAAAACCTCGTTTAATTAAGTAAATGTTGAATTTGCATTACTTTTAAAAGAAAATTCAAAAGTTTTTAAATTAGTTAAAGTTACAATGAGTTACAAAACCAGAGAGTTGATTACATAATTTTATTTCAACTTTGACTTTCATTTTCACTTTCATTTTGATAGATTTTTATTTTCCATTCCACTTAAATTTTCATTTTGATAAATTTTTATAATAAATTCACTTTTATTTTTTCTTTGAAAGATTTTTATTATCAATTTTATTTTCACTTTCATTAAAACTTCTCTACTTTAATAGATTTTTCTTTTTAAATTGAAAATAAAAATCTATCAAAGAGAAAATGAATGTAAAAATGAAAATCTATTAAAGTAAAAATAAAAGTAAAATAAATATTTATCAAAGCGAAAATGAAAAAGAAAATAAAAATCTATCAAAGTGAAAGCGAAAATGGATGTGAAAATACAAATCAATCAAAGTGAAAGCAAAAACGAAACTGACCATTTTCCCGAAAACAATTTCCCGAATAGCAAAATTCCCGAATAACCTAGTTCCCGAATGACATATTTTCCCGAAGGCGATTTTCCCGAAGGTGAATTTCCCGAAGAGTATTGTTCACGAACCAGAAGACTTAAAATTTTTATAATGTAATGTTGCACGCGGCTGCTCGTAAGTAATCCATAATTCGATGTTCATCTTTATAAACTTGGAAGGTTCCGGCTATTGTCTGTAGGCGAATTTTGAAAGCAATTCCTGCGTGGAAATGACAGTCTGGGCAAAATCCAGCAAAGTTCATCAAAGTACAGAATAGTATGGGCAAAGTACAGTAAAGTACGGCTTATGAGCGTTTCCCATACTTTGGAATGTACATGGATAACAACGATATTTAAAGTACGGGAACAAGAAAATAGGTTTTTCGGGAATATTTTCGAATAAAGTACACCAAAGTATTGGAGGCGAGTTTTTTTGGATATGCAAAATCAAAATATTAAAGTTCTAAATTTGTGAAGTTCGGGGCAAGTCAGGGAAAGTGCAGAAAAGTATTGGAGATTTAAAAAAAGGTTTTTTTGGGAAATATTAAATATGAATTAACGAAAGAGTGGAGATAAATAAAAGATTTAAAAAACAATGAAATTTTGACATGACAGTTTCAATAAATAAATGACTTCGATACTTAACGTTGGTATGCAATAATAAACAAAAGCGCATACACAAATTGATAATATTTATATTGTTCGAAAATTCGGGTTTCAGGCCATTAGGGAAATTTGCTTTCGTGAAAATCGATTCGGGAAATTCACCTTCGGGAAAATATGTCATTCGGGAACTAGGTTATTCGGGAATTTTGCTGTTCGGGAAATTGTTTTCAGGAAAATGGTAGGTAATCAAAAACGAAACTGACTGTCTCGAAGTAAAAGTGAACTTGACAGCAAAAATAAAAATCTGTGAAAATGAAAATTTTTACTGTCACTTTGATAGATTGTTATTTTCATTTTTAATTTCACAGTCACTTTGATGGATTTTTATTTCTACTTTCACTTTGATAAAAGTTAAAAAGTGAAAAAAACAAGGTGTAAATAAGAATCCGTCAAAGTGAAAGAGTAAATAAAAATTCGTCAAGGGGAAAATAAAAATTCATAAAAATGAAAACGAAAGTGAAAACGAAATTAAAAATCTTTCGAAGTGAAAGTGAAAATTAAAAGTCAAAGTAGAAATAAAATTATATAATCAATCCCCAGTTAAGATGTTACTTTGTAAATAGTAGGTAAAAATTGCTCTGTATTCTTATTTGTCTAGTTAATTTTAAAAGAAAGTAAATTTTACTTTATGTTTACTAAAATATTAAATTAATTATTAAAAATGAAAGTGAAAATAAAAATCTATTAAAGTAAAAATAATATCAAAATAAAACGGAAAATGAAAATTAAAATTTGAATGAAAATATACATAATCGTTCCCTAGAAAAGCACAAAAACTCCAAACACTTAAGCTTTTACTTTATAATAAATTGTAAAAGTAGTAATTCTTTTTTTTAATATTTTTGTACTTTGTTTTTTCTAAGCTCTCTTAATTTTATTTATTGGAAAAGAACTTCAAAAGGTGATTGAAGACGGGATGTAAAACTATATATAGTCGAGATTAGAATACGAATTGCATCTTCTTTTTCAATTTTTGTTTAATCTTTGAATTCAGCTGAGAATATTGTCTGTAATTAAAGTTGGGTCATAGAAGAGCGCGTTATCTTCCTAATACTTTTATTTTCCGCAACTTTATCGAAAATAGTCCTCAGTCTTCTTATCAAGGTGCCAATGATCCCTTTTGTGAGCCAATGGTTGTTCATCTCTCACTGTTAATCCACGTTCTTAAGCCTCGATAAAGAGCATCCCCTTGAAATTCCGAGTTGACGAATGAACAAATTCTTCGATTATTTCCTATCTTTCTTCTCTACTTAATTATATATAAATTTATGTCCATAAATAAATAAAAGTAGATAAAATATTATTAATAAATTAATCTCTTTTTCCCCCACTTTATTTTCTCTAATTTTATTTATTAATATGAATTATTTACAATTCATCTACTATTGTAATTTATAATATTATATTTATCATATTATTTATTTTACAAGTGAAACGAAACAATTTTATATGATCACCCTGGATTCATGTATTCTATTTGCTCTATTTCGTTTATGAGCGAATTTTCATGCCATCTAGGCGTCAATTTAATGAACTGTATTGGCGCCAAATTCAAAAGGGAAAACTTTAATTCATGATAAATTAATATTAGTAATATATAACTGATTAATATCTATAAAACTATTCTTGTTCAAATTAGAGTATTAATGTCTTCCCAATCAATTATATGCTTGCGATTCTCACATTAATTAATAATCGAAATAAATCTCATGGTGCCTCAAATACCCACATTTACTAACAATAATAATAATATGTGCAGCAACAATAAATAATTTATATCACATTAATAATAATTTTATCTTTGGTTTCACTTTTAATATTGAAAATTATCCTTCTGCAATAGTTTGCGACCTTGCTCGAAAGGACCACCACTAGAGTCAAACACGTTCTACAAGAACTTTTCAATTTTTGTCAGTTTGCGTGAGGATCGTTCGCGTGGCTTGATTTTATAAAAGAGGAAGAGAGAAAGAGAGACAGAAAAAAAACAGTCTTCGAACAAGGAATACGTAAAAAAAATAATCCGGCAGCTCCGCACAATTAAATCGCTCGACAAACTAATTGTGCCAGTGAATTATCGTTCAAGTTTCATTGAGAGTGAAGGAGAGAAAGAGAGAGAGGAAAAGGAAGTGCACCTCAGTATATACTTTATATTTGAAAGGTATATAGTTAAATTCGAAGCACGTACTTACTTGTTTAATATATATATATATATCGAAGAAAAATCTCATGCATCTGCTTGTCTGGTTCGCGAAAAGTCGCGGAAAATTTTTTTTTGAAATGTATCTGCTTACATATATATATGAGACGCTTGGTCACGCGACAATGTTATACAGATTATAAAAGTAGTTCCTTGATCAAATTGACATCAATCTTTCAATGGTATCTTAGCACCCAGACTGTTTTTATCATTAATCAATTTCAATCTCATCACTCTCGGAATATTTTGTGCAAATTTTTCAATTATCGACTGAATAAATACGCATAACGAAGCAATGACTTTGATCCTCCAGCAGCAGACAGATACGGTGATAATATGTCTCGTGTTTAATTAATTTTGAAAATGCAGTCGAGCAGTGGTATATATATATATATATATTATATATACAAAGAAAATATACATATGGGCGTTTCTTCGTAAAATGTTTTTTTTTCTTTAATTTTTTTTGCATTGTATTATCTATTCATCACGTCATTAAATTATCGGCGATTTTTTTGAAAATTGAAATAAATAAATTAAAAGTTATTAAAGTATTTTATTTGGTTTATTAACCGTTTTTTTAAACATATGCCTATAAATAATCTACAAGTAGAAAAAAATGTTTTTTTTATTTATATGTAATTGTTTAAAAAAATTGTTAATAGGAACTAGAAAAATATTTTTCATTAAGATTGGTCGTTGGCCACATATCAGGGTTGTCACAGGTCAGGGAAGTCAGATTGAGTGTCATTAAATTGTAAAACGGGTATCGAATCGTTATAAAATTCTCTTTGCAATGTAATTTGAACGAACTTCCTAAAATGTTGAGAACATGGTTTATTTTACAATTAAACAATTAATTTTCCAATAACAAATAGTAATTTTCAACAAAAATTTTTTTTATTTTTTTAATTAAAAGTGCAGTATTTAAGGTTTACAAAAATATAAGCTTCATTAAAATCCGTTTATTATATTCCAAGATATGCATTTTTTAATTAAGCACTGTAAAAAACTTCAATTGTTTATAACCCAGAGAAATTTAATTTTAAAAAAAAATCCTTTGAACCGTTTAATAAACTCATAATTACGTTTACATTTCACATGTTGTCAATAGAATACAGTAAATACGAAATTTTACTGTTACACTTCAGGAAGCCTTACCCAAATAATACAATTATTTTTAGAAATTCAATTATTTTTCTAAGTAATAAAATTCTTTTTAGGAATTCAATTATTTGCATAAGTAATAAAACTCATCGCAGAATGTCAATTATTTTAGATACAGTTTCTTTATGAGAATTCAATTTTAAGAAACATTTAATTATTCAATAAATTATTTATTTTTGCATTTAAATAATTAAATTCTGGTAGAATTTTCTAATACAAATTTATTTAAAAATGAATTTCAGTTCTGATAATTTAATTTTAATTAAATTATCAGGAATTAATAATTTAATTTTACAATTAAAGAAACTCGTAAATAAATGTAATAAAACCTTTTTCTTCAGTATCTAATAATTTTTAGAGTGGAATCAGAATATTCTTTGGGGCCAGGGAAAAAGTCAAAATTTGTCTGGAAATCAGGGAAAAACAAAATAAAATTTTTGTGGTAACCCTGTGTATATGATAGTAAAGATGCTTAAATATTTAGATTAAAATTTTTTTTTTAAATATACAAACAAATATTGTCAATGGTACGTTAATTTTTTAACTTACTTGAGGCGCATGATTATTCCCCAAATGTCATTTGACCGAATTGCATTTATCCGAACTGTTATTTTAACGAACTGTCACTTTTGCGAATCGACATTTTTACGAATTGCTACTTTTGCGAAAAGTCATTTTTGCGAAATATCATTTTTACGAATTGTCATTTTTACGAATCGTTATTGTTCTGAAATGTCATTTTTACGAAATGTCACTTATGTGAATCGACATTTTTACGAATTGTCACTTTTGCGAAATATCATTTTTACGAATTGTCATTTTTACGAATAGTTATTGTTCCAAAATGTCATTTTTTCGAATTGTCATGTTTACGAAAAGTCACTGTTGCGAATTGTCATTTTTGTTAAAATAGCAATACTAAATATATATATATGCATACAAGTTTACTATAGCAATTTTCGCAAAAATGACAATTCGCAACAGTGTCATTTCGTAAAAATGACAATTCGAAAAAATGTCAGTTCGCATAAATGACAATTCGCAAAAATTACAATTCGAAAAAAATAACTTTTCGCAAAAGTGACAATTTGTAAAAATGACAATTTGAAAAAATTTCAGTTCGCATAAATGACAATTCGTAAAAATTATAATTCGCAAAAATGACTTTTCGCAAAAGTGACAATTCGTAAAAATGTCGATTCACAAAAGTGACATTTCGGAACAATAACGATTCGTAGAAATGACAATTCGTAAAAATGATATTTCGCAAAAGTATAGCAATTCGTAAAAATGTCGAATAAGAAAAAAACGTCAATTTCCATAAAAAATTGTAGGCTGTAGGTAATTATGTACAATAAATTGTAATTTTGAACCACTGTGCGTCCTGATCTCAAAAAATTAAAAAACATTAAATTAAATTAAAAATCTTCGAAAATAGTAAAAATTTTTACAGAATTAAACAGCCGTAGACTACATTTTATTTTAAGACTATATGTATATAGTTAACTATAAAAGCTTTACTGTAAAATTGACTTTACTCGTTTTTTCCGTACGTGTATACGAACATAAATGGTTAAAATGAGCGAGGATATATATATATATACGTATAGAATAAAACATCTTGTATAGTAGAAAATAGATCAATAAAGTGTGACAGAAAGTCTGTGGATTTTCTGAGAAATGCCCCCCTTTTTTTCGAAAGAAAAGATCATTTTAATTTGCCTCCTATATGTGCCTGCGCTTCTCAATATATACGCGAATTCAAAATCATGAATAACGCACTCGAGACCCACCGTGCGCTGACAAGTAATGAAGTCATGTTGAGATCAAGAGGTTCTACGCGCATACGCACAGGTGCATCTATAAAGGATGAAAAGAGTCGCACTTATATGCACGAACGTGCTTCGTATGTCGATGTATACGAAGCTTCTTGTACGTTGCTTGTAATTGGAATCGCATTTAACTGCGCGGCATACATTCCGGTTTCATATAAACGAATTCTCTCTCTTTCTCTCTTACTCTCTTTATATAGAACGATGTTGCCAGGTCCATGATGACAATTTATGAACTGGTCGCACAGTGTGGTTGCTCCAATGGGGAAAGTGAACAATTATTATTGGTTCGGTACACCGAAAAAAATCTCGATGGTATTATTAACTATGACCCTATAGTTAATCTTAATCTAGTAAAAGTAATAAGGATTCCTAATCATTATGGTTAGGATCGCTAGGTTGATTCAACAAATTCAAGCCTGGCAAAAACAACCCTGCAAATCCTAGTCAAATTGACTAGGATTTTAGTAATTTTGCCTATTTCCATAATGCGCACGCGTCTGCTTCTGTTCTGACAGTGTTTACCTCTATATCTTTCGCGTCATTTATCGTGATTTCGTAAAACGATTTTTTATCATTACTCGCGTCTATTTTTTGTACATAAAATGGAGTTCTTACATACATCAAAATTGCTGGTTTCTCGGAACCTCTGGAAATATAGATAGTCCATGTTTTAGAAAGTAAACTATTTAATTATATTAGTCAATTCTTTCAGACTTTTTTGGTTAGGTTTCAATATAAATCGTCGAAATTTTTACGCACGTGGTGACAACATTTTTACTATTTTAATCGTGCAGTGTGTTTGAAAATTTACCTTTGCAATAATTTGTGTATTTAAATTTATTTTCATTTAAATGGCATAAATAATTAAAAATAAATAGTTTTTGACAAGTGTATAAAATTGTGTACTGGAAATGTATAAAACATCATCTGATTAAGTATTGTATTTTGACTCGAAAATCTAGTGTCTATTAAAAAATTAAAATACCAAGTCGTGTTTAGTGTAGTGGTTATAGTTCCGGGTTTCAAAGTGCGTATTCGTTAGGTTCAGGTGTTCGCGTCCCCCCTGCGTCAAATATTTATTTCATAAGTTTAAATTAATTCTAAGGTACTCTCTAAATCTGAATTAGTAGAAAGTTACTAATGAAATGACGAAAAGTCTTCCACCAAATGATTTAGTAATAATTTTACTAACAAATAGTGAAATTTTACTAATTATTAGTAGATTTTACTAATTGCTTAGTAGAATTCTACTAACAATTAGTAGAACTGTTTTATTAGTAGTCGATAAAACAGTTTCACTAATTCATTTAGTAAAAAAGTGACTTTCAATTAGTGGAATTCTACTAAAACATTAGTAAAATATTACTAAAAATTAGTAATATTCTACTAATTGAAAAGGGGAAAAGTCTTCCATGAAAACTACTAAAAATTAGTAAAATTTTACTATTTCTTAGTAGAATTCTACTAATTCAGATTTAGAGAGTATATAAATACAAAGTCAAATATAAATATGTTCAAATACAATAATTAATTTTTTTCTTTTTCTTTTAATTAGTTTTTCTCTTTTATTTGATAATAAGAATTTGTTTAGCAATTTCAAATAATTATGATACACAGTGTAAATCTAATATTATTCTCCTAGTCAATTTGACTATTTTTTCCTGATTACATCGACTAATTTTCCTGGTCACTTTAACTATGCTTGAATTTTATTACTTTGACTAGAATTCTATAGTGGGTTCCTCTCGTTACTAGGAAACCTAGTCAATTCCTGGTATACGGGTCCTAGGCATTTTTTTCGGTGTAGAGTATCGGAGGAAAATGGAATTTCTTTACTGGCGGTCGCTCGGTGTAAAAAATAGATATTTACCGGTGCAGGCTTTTTTAATTTTTTAATTTTTCTACTCCACTCCAGTGTAAAAACATTGGCGCATTAATGACCCAAGAATGATAGCCAACGAAATCAATATTGTACCATTATTGGCAACCAATGATGGACCATTAATGATGAAATTGGCAAAAAATCGGCCAATCAAAATGAAAATGTGAATAACCATACGTTCAATGTTCAAAAAATAATTTACCTCACATTCACACCTAACTTCAGTTCAGATAAACAATTAATTATAGGAAGACTCTGTCGAAGTA